CTAAATCACTGTCACTATTTGATAGTGACAGTCTCATGGTATATATCAGTTTTCTTTATGACAAGTGATGACTAAGTCTTTTATCCCCTCTGCCCCCAAGTACTTAACCTTTCACTTGCCAGTAATAATGTTGCTTATATTATTAGTAATTGGTAATTATAGAATACATCCAAAGTTTCTTTCTCAGTATCAGAGAATGAACTAGGCATTTCAGTATGCAGAACTTTAATTTCAATCTTTGGTCAGGAAGCCAATAATTTAATGAGGGATAGATAAAGTTAATAAATAACTTGCCTTTTGATACGATTGTTAATGTTCTAGATGTTGGTATGAGAGATGAAAAAAGAAAGGGTGTACAGGTGAGGGGAAGGGGGTTTGTGCAGAGGGAATGCTGACTTCAAGGTTTGTAGGATGAGCAAGCCCAAGGGCATATGACTAGGAAGACAGAAAATCAGTGTGGAAATGGTTCTCAGTGCTGCATATTCTCTTCAGCCAGGGTGAGCAGACTTCTTCTGGGACGAGGCAAATTCATTCTCTTGTGCAAGACAGAGCTCTGATTGGATAATCTGAAATCAGCCACAGACCAAGAATGGATGAGGGGGCATGGCTGTGGTCTAATAGAACTTCATTTGTGAAAAGCCCCTTGTTATAAGCCTTACATTCATTACTTGCTTAATCCTAATTACAATCATGATACCACTAGATAGGGCCTGGCCAACCATGCTGGCACTCTAAGTCATTTCTGCACTTCTGGGAGGTGTGTAACATGCATATGCATATGTACGTTTGTGAGGAATACTGAGCACAGATCAGGTATGGACCTAAACCTCAGATATTTACTGCCTGGCTTTGTGCAAAACGTCTGCTAACTTCTGCACTAGCTTCCCTCTGAGAAAAGGGTAAGACCAGACTTGATGTAAAGGAAGCAAATCTGAACTAGGCCCCATCTGAGAGCCACCAAGTCTTCATGAGAGAAATACTCCCTTTGTGAGACCAAGTGATTCTGTGGAATTCCATGGCCCATAATCCCAGAGGGTGAATGACTGTCAGGTGGGGACCTGGCTGAAGGGACTTTCATGAGTTTCCACCCGTTCATCATCGATGTGTAACTGATAAGTGTGTGGGCAGTTGCCTGATAGAGCCAAAGGATGTCATTCAGGGTCTCAAGGTGATCTTGCTCTTCAGGAGATAAAGCAGGGAAGCATGGGAAATCTCTGAAAGTTCTCTTTTGGTTCCATGAAGACAGGGCTATGTCACTGGCAACGGGACTGCCTGTTATTCTGGAAATCATGTGTTGACAGCTTGCAACAGATAAGTAAAGGGAATTCTCCTTACCTTTAGAAATACCCCAGCTCAGGTCCCATCCATGTCAGTGTAGCCAGAGAGAGAAAAGTTGCCGGGCTGGATTATGTGTCTTTGTACATCATCACAAGGTGGAAATTGTTAGTCTCAAATCACAGCAGCTCTTTTGACTTTATCTTAGAGTTCTTTCAGCAACCTCCAGCTAGTTCCTGGACAGAGGAGACACACAATAAAGGTTGGTGGCAAGCCCATCCTTTGAAAGGCATACTCAAAACAAGGTCAAAAGTAGGAAAAAAGAAGATTACTACATTTGCTTTGAATTGATTTGTCTGATACACACATATTTAAAGACCCTCCAGATTCTTAGCTTATACATTTAGGACTAGTGACCATAAAAGTTTGTTAACATTAAAAGAATTGCAACATTTTCTTTGTAATTGATTGTAACTGCTTTTTTTTTTTCCTTTTGAAAATTTCTGGGTAGTTTGTCCTGTTGCTTTGTTAGCTGTGTTTTGTGGAACTTTTGATTATGTCTGTCTTACTTTGGCCATTAATCTAACTCCAGCATTTCAGTTTTAAATATACTTTTTTATAAATTTAAAAAAAATACTGCAAAGAAAGAGAGTGACATTTAGTATTTAGAGAACATTTTTTTCTCCATCTAGAATTTGCCTAACTTAGGCTCTAGTCCTTTATAGCACGATTGAAAGTCGCAAGGTGGCCCATTGGTAGTTAGAGACAGAAAGTTGCTCCCCGTGAGTCCTGGTGTTCTACTTCTATCTCATATTTCTTCAGAGCTAATACTTTTCCTTCTTGGGAAACAAAAGCTCTTCCCTCCCTCTGAGGTGCACCAATCAAGGTTGTGGGGCTGGAGGGACAGGGAAGGGACAGAGGGTGCCGTGAAAGGAGAATCCTTCATTGGCTTTCTTTTCTAGGAGTTTCATCGAGATTGAATGAGGGAAATGTCTCACTTTATTTAGTTCTTTATTGGAAAACACACCAGCTGAGAAAAGGTATTAATTTTGTCTTAAAAAAATGTCCAACTTGGTATAGCCAAAGCAAAAAATAGAATTTAGATAGAAAGTGTAAACCAAAAAAGTGGTCTCATTCTGTGTCAGCCATCCCCCGGCAGAAGATGGTTCTGACATTTCTTGTCATCCTCCTCACCATGCTTTTCGCTTTTGGGCTTGTATCACCCCCAGGCCTCCAGGACCCTGGTCTCCCCCAGCCCCAGCATGGGCAGCATTTTGCTGTCCCCAGGGGTCCAGTGGGCTCCATTATAGCTGCTGTCCTGGTAACACCTGGTTCTTCTCCCTAGATTCCAACCCATGGATGATCACAGCTGGAAAAAGCTTCCCGGGGTACCTAGGTTATGTGTGTGTGTGTGTATTAACATTTACTTTTTTATTTTTAATTTTCTAAAAAATACTGTATTGTCAAGATGATGTACAGAGGTAGTGAGTACATTTCTTGTTGAACTTGTTACCCCCTCCCTCATTTTTCTCCCACTTCCCCCCCCACCCCAACATTTACTTCTTATAGATACTTGGTTGGGTGAGTTAGATGTTCAAAATTGTTTACCTTTGTCAGCATCGTTTTAGCTTACGCATTAAAGGAGCTTTATTTTTTCACTTTTTTTTGTAGTTTTAAAAAGTTTTGTTTTAATGGATACACAAAAGTGTAACAATTATACACAATACTAGGGAATTGCATGGGAAGAGTGCGCAATGTTTAAACCAAGTGCGTGGCTTCTTCTAGGTGAGAGCTTTCTTGTGGCCTTTTGGAATGGATGGTGTTAGCAAGATGGAGAATGGAAAAGGGACAGGCCTGGGCCAGGACTGTTTATTGCCAGTGAAGGGCACAGACCTTCCTGTGAGTTTGGAGGTTGTGTGAGGGACCGGATTCTGGGGAGGGCTGAACAAGGAAGCAGAAAATATAAAACAGGCTATGGCCTCTTGGGGGCCTAGGGCATTGGCGTTGGCCAGGCCCAGAGTAGAAGGCTCAGTCTGGGATGAGGGGACTTCCAGCCAGGCTTAGGTTGGACTAGCCTGTCCAGGGACAGGCATGTGGCCAAGCCTCTTCCCTGGTGTCTTGCTTGACCTGAGGGGATAAGTTGGGAATCAGCCCTTCACGTGGCACATTATTGTCACCTTCTCCTCAAACACATCACTTCATGGTGACAACTGTCTGGTGGCCTCTTGAAGTGCATGGTGCATTATTGTCACATCATGTCGGTACATCTTTGTCTCTCCCTCCCCCGCCCCGTGCGGTAACACACCAGAACTTCCTACTTACGCATTTTCAATCCATACTCACAGCCACAGTTCATAGGTGGACATAAAAATCAGTATTATTTATTTTTATTCCTTTGTGTGTGTATCCTTTTTTCTATACATTCCTTTGAAATCTTTTGTTCAATGTATGCTTTATGTAATTGGAAATATGGCTTACATTTGAAAATAGATTTTTGTGTGTGTGTGTGTGTTTGTTTTTGGTGATTCTGTTTCTGGAGATAGAAGAAAGGTTCCCCCGCCCCTCCGTGCTTCCTTCCTAGTTTCCACATGAAATCTCAGGTGCTTGAGATCCACTTGTGACAAGCATTTCAGGGTGTCTCACAAAAAGCAGTTTTGCAACAAGAGCATTTTATCAAGGATGTATTTTAGAATGACAGGGTTAAAATAGGGGAAAATGGAAGAGAGAGAACAGCATTTTGTGTTCCCTTTGCAAAGAATGGGAAATAAAGATTCAAAATGGTGGCTCCTTTGAGCTAGATGAGCAGGCCTCACCTAATTAAGATATATATAATCATAATTATATATATATGTATATGTATCTTCCATTCAAGCATAATGCATGGGAAACACATCTTATACTTTAGCAAGTCACCCGTGCCAAAAAGAATCAGAAAACCACTGTTTTCTGCAGTCACTGTGATTTTTAAATTTCTCACACTCAGATGATTTTAAGTGGGGTTTATTATGGGTCACAAGAAATAATTTTATCTCTTACTGTTGAGTAAAACTTAGTTATTTGTATGTATGGTGGGTTGTAAAAACTTTCTGCTTTGTAAATATTAGATTTGCCTGTGTTGCTAGGAAACACAAAATTAAAAACAAAGTTTATATAGGCATGAGAGAAACTGATGAAGTCTAAATCCTGTTGTTATAAACAAGCGAATCTTTGAGGTACCCTCTCTTGTCAAAACAAACGTCTGTGAAATGTAATTCACTCCCAAAAGAGAAAGAAACTTCTCACCATGAAGTAATGATTTCTTTTTCTTTCTTTCCTTTTCTTTCTTTTATTATTATTTTTCTTCTTTAATGTTTTCTTTTCCTCTCGGAAAAGAAAAAAAAAGAAAAAGTTTTCTTTTCCTCAGCGTTGTTTCAAGTCTCTGGGAAAGTCTGTTCGGCATTTCCTTCTTGGGATTGGCGCTGGCGTCTGTGTGTGTGCTTTGTTCTGGGGAAAGCTGAGGTCAGTTAGCAACTTGCAGCTAACTGTTAAAAAAAAAAAAAAAGAACAAAAAAAGCTGAGTAATGCTGGCTGTGCCTGTGGCGCGGCTGATGCAAACCTGGAGAATTTGCATCATCATGAAGTTGGAGTAAGTTAGTGTGACAGGCGGGAGCTTAAATACCAGCCCCGAGGAGGCTGAGCGGCTGTGAGATGCAGGGGAGCGGGGCCCGGGCGCACAGGTGTCCCCGGGACGCACCACAGCGCGGGGCGCGCGCGCACCCCTGATCTCTCCACCTGCCCAGCACAGCCATGCCCAGAAGGACCTTCTGAGCGCACAGGGCACGGGAGAGGCCAGCCCGCGGGACGCCCTCGAGGGAAGGCTTTCTTTCTGTCCTCGTGCCTCCTTCCCTCCCCGTGTCCCCCTGCCCCGGGGCCGGCGCCTCTGCCACCATGGTCCGGAAGCCGGCCGTGGCCACCATCTCCAAAGGCGGTTACCTGCCGGGCAGCGCGAGCGGACGGCTGCCGTCCACAGGGGCCCGGGCCGCCTCCGGCCGGGAGAGGGTGGTCCTGAAGAAGAAGATCACCCTGCTGCGGGGGGTGTCCATCATCATCGGCACCATCATCGGGGCCGGCATCTTCATCTCGCCCCGCGGCGTGCTGCAGAACACGGGCAGCGTGGGCCTGTCCCTCACCGTGTGGACCGTCTGCGGGCTGCTGTCGCTCTTCGGTGAGTGGGGGGAGCCGTGGCCGGCCCTGGGGCTGGGGGCCGTGTCTCCCGGAGAGGAAAGGGTTATTTGGGAAGGCTGGGGGAGAGGAGTGTCCTAGGGGTGTTTGGCTGTTTCCTGGAGGTGTGTGACTGACCAAAACAACGTGTCCCCTGCGGGGGTCCCCCTCCCCCAAATCCCTTCCTGAAGGCTGCTTCCCCCCTCCCTCTCCCTTCCCCGGGGTCCAGCAGATGATTGCTTTGGAGGTTCACTTTGGTGAGCCACAACATGCCTGTGCCAGCTTCCTGGACGGGCGCTCGTGCCCGTGCTCCCGTGTTCTGGCAGCTGGCATCCCAATGACACACCTGTGAGAGGCAGGGCCTGTGGCCTGTTGGGTCCCCTGGCGTTGCCTTGAGAAGCAAGGGAGTGTGTGGGGAGGTAGCGCCCAGCTCCCCTGCCCCCGTCCTGCCCAGCTGCCTGTGGGCCTGGGTCCCCGCAGGCCTGGAGAGGGGACTCCTGGGGAGGGGACTGGAAGGGCGCAGCGCAGCGCCCCTCCACGCGGGCTCAGCCCCCGCTGGGCGCACCTCAGTTTCTGCGCTTGCATTTCCTTAATGAATCCTGCTTTTAAAACGTGACTTTTTCAAACTTCAGTGGGGTGTTCGCTTCCTCTCCTTGCCCAGATGTGTTTGCTTCGCTGGGTCTCTAGGGAAACAGATAACTTTTCCACCTGTTCAGCCGAGTTCATGGAATACAACTGGCAGAAGAATGTTTCTTCTATAGAGTTGAGAGTTAAAGGAAAAGAAATGCTCTGAGGTGGGCAGATGAGAGATGACTTTGTCCGATATATAGACATAGCTATGTATAATTTTGATTTTTGCTCTTTTCTAGAACGTAGTGGTTTGATTCCAGAACACTATACTTTAAAATGATGAACCCTTTGCTCTACCTTAGGTTACCCAAAGCTAACAACCCTCAGCCTCAAGTACACCAGTCCATTCATGCTTTGTACTTAAGTCATCCATGTTTTCATCCGCTGGTTGGTGCAGGTACCTAGAGGACTCAGAGTTCCATTAAAACATTTTTTTTTTTTTTGGAAGGAGGTGCTTTAAATAAAACTTGTTAGTTAAAGCCAAGTCTTCCTGTAGAGAGGACTACAGAGGACTTCTTTTTAAGACTTAGTTTGTAGTGTTGCTTGTGCAGATGGCTGATGCTTAGTGACAGTTGTGTGATGATGTTTGTTTTCCTAGTGGTGACCCTTATCCTCGCAGACTATTATGAGACAGCGTGATGATAGGAGCTCTCCCCAGAACCTTGAGCCATCATTTGTGTTAAAGTGATTCTGGCATGTGCAGGCACAGATGAACTTAATTGTTGGTCTTAAATAACTTTGTGCAGCATCAGCCTTTAATCTTCCTACATTACTTGGTATGTTTAGAATAAATCAATATCTAATGAGATAAACGATAGCCAGTGTTCTGGGCATTGCAAACTCACACACACACAGTTCCCACTGTGATTTTCCATTTTCATACGCCATAAAAGATTATGCAGATGTAATGAAATAAATCACTTTGGGAATTGGACTAAAGTGGCATGATGAAAGCGTGCTTATTCTCCAGTATGCCACGCAATGGAGAGCTTCACAAAAGAAGGACAGAGCAGAGCAGGGGTGTAAGGTAGGCCACACTGGAGTGGTACTTCTAATTCTTCACTGGGGAGTGTGCTCCCGCACGCACTGACCAACAGACCTGCATTTGCATTCCATTTGTCACTTGGATTTCTAGCAGATTTTTGATGACAAAGCAAAACGAGGGGAGAAAAAGCCTTCTTCTTTTGAAACTCTGGAAGCCTGGGAGCAACTTAAGAATCTATAGATAGATGATTCCTCAACTTAAAATGGATTTTTTTTAACCTTGCCATAGTGCGTAATAATTTACTTGTTAACAAGTGATATGAAATCTTCACCACTTTATTATGAAATAAACTCAGTTCCATAATTTGCCCAACTATAGGCAAATATGTGTTCTGAGCATTGAACACATTTTTCATATAATGTTTTCAACTTACAGTGTGGTTTTTCTAGGGGTGGGGGGAAAGAGGGGGAACTCCTCTGTAAATGGAAGAAAATCTGTATTTAATTTATAATTTTTTTTCAAATCCAAGGTCAATACTTGGGTTTTATATCCTGTTTTGTACTTCTTTCATCTGAGCAAAGAGCTATGGAGCTGAAGCCTTTATGAAAATCTCATTTCCCCAGCACTCAATTTAAACCTAGGGCAATCATCCTGGAGTTTCAGCAGAGCATATAGAGGTCTAGGTATTGATTCTCTGACATTAAATTCAGAGGTACTTAAGACTCTTTCCAATAACATTTTATACTGGATGCTTTTCTGCACAACTTGCCAATATGGCGACTATTTCCCAGTAGTGGGTGAATTGCAAGTAGTCGTAATTAGTTCCAAATAGAAAACATGTATCCACGGTCCCCAAATATCCATGTACAGCATACTTACTTCAGAGTCATCTGTGGGAGTTGAAGAAATGTAGACACTCTTGGAGAGTGTGGACTCTTGCTTGGAGAGTAGATCTAGAATTTGGTCTTGAATCTGCTTTTCATTTGGCTGGTTTTGAGTTTAAAACATAAAAAAATTAAGATTCCTCTGATGTAGTGCCAGACTTGGAAATCAGGTCAAGCATAGTTAGATTTCACTAAATATATAAATTATATTTGTGCTGGACAGTTCTACATAACTTATGTCTGATGAGTTAAGGACAATTATCTGTGAAGTCACTTGAGTGAAATTGTGTAGTCATGTGTGAGCACTGAGCAGTGTTCACAGAGCATTTCATATTACATTCAGATCTATTTTTTCACTTTCTTGTTAATTAATTGCTCAGGTTATAAGTATAGTTATATTTCTTTCTCTTTTTTTCTTTTGGTGGCAATAAGGTTTGAAGGGAAGGAACTTTCTAGGCAGACTCTACCACTTGACCATACCTCCAGTTCCTTTTGCAAATTTTACTTGTTTTTCAAATAGGGGCTCACATTTTTCTCTGGCCAGCCTAGATAGACAGTGATCTTCCTACTTGTGGCCTCCAGTCTAGCTGGGATGAGAAGTGTGGATTGCTATAGCCAACTGGAGGGATGGCCTCCAGCTGCAGACTTCAAGTTGAGATCTCAGCTGGTCTTATTTCCTCTTTTGTACCAAGGATTCCAACTCTGGTTTTAGAAATGTTGGGGTTGGAGGAGTGGCTCAGAGGGTAGAGCACTAGCCAACAGGTGAAAAGGACAGATTTCAAGTTCTAATCTCTGTCTTGGAGATAAAAATAAAAATGTATGCATACCAATTTAAGTAACACGGGACTTTCCACGTAGAATGAGCTACGCCTCACACATGAAGAAGTTACAGGAGGAACTTGGAGTGTCTCAGGCATTAGATGACAGTTGTTTTGAAAGCAGGATGCCTGTCAGGTCTGAGGAAGTGCTAGCTCAGCTGCAGCACAAACACTGTTGTGTTGATCCTCGCACCCAGGGGGTTGATTCTGTATTCAACTGACACCTTTTCCTTGTAACCATTTCACAGGGGCCTTGTCCTATGCAGAGCTGGGAACAAGCATAAAGAAATCTGGTGGCCATTACACATATATTCTGGAGGTCTTTGGCCCTTTACTGGCTTTTGTGCGAGTCTGGGTAGAACTGCTCATCATTCGGTAAGAACGGAATCAAACTAAGACACAGTAAGCCTCTTCCTTTAATCACTCCTGTGAGTCCACATTCTTGAAGCCACATGGGACAGTGTACCTCTGGCTGCCCAGACACACGGAGGCCAGCGAGGGACCAGAACTTCCCTTGGTTGTAGGGTAGGTTATTAAGTCATTTAACTTGACTCCATTTTTGTGACTCAGAAACGTCTGGGCCAAACAACTTAGTGTGTCACCGGTCTTAAGATGTATAAAATTGTTTGCATACGACCCATGACTCACTTCCTGACATGAAGCAAATCAGGGAACTACAGCTGTGAAAACCTTTTGATTTTATTGTTGAAGAATGTATTTCCTCTCCTGACTTTCTTGGCATCAAATTGTGCCAAGTCACTCTGAACAGCAAATTTCCTTCCACTTTGAGTAGAACTTACAGGTCACCTGAGCCCCCGCTCTTCTTGCCTGACCTGTTCTCCAGTGGTGAGTTGCACTTTCTGATTACAGAGTTTAAGAGCCATTACTAGGGGGTACTTGCTCCTTCTGGAAACTTCTCAGGCATACACTGCTGAAAGGTTAGGTAAACTTTCATTCTGTCATTTAAAGCGAATGAGAAAAGCAGAGGAATTATTTGTTCAGTCACAGTAATTTTTTTTTAAAGAATTTCCTTTTTAGCAAAGAGCTCCAGAGAAGTATATACTTCATTATTAAGTCTGTTTCTCATTTTTACAAAGTCTGCATTCATTCAAGACTATAATTAAATCATGATAAAAGAGTTTCTCAAAGATCCCTTTACCTAGAGTATACCCTCTGCTGCTTTTCAATTATCTGAAAATATACTTCAAAGTTTCAGTTATATCTTCCAGCTAATTTCCTATTTATTCTACTTATGGTAGTTTTTAATTATTAGAATATGCAATCCTTTTTCATTTGACATTGAATTTGATACCTTGTGTTTTTACTCAGTATTTTAGGTGTCTTGTATACCTTGGAAGTATAAACATTTCATGTACTAATAACTAGGTCTTACACATCCCATAACCTTTTCCTACCTAGATGAGTGTCCTGTGTTATTCTGGGTAAAGATGATTTTTGGTAAATGATAGAAGGTTATAGTTATCCTGCTACGAATGCAACGGAGTCAGAATTCAAATGAGTGTACTCCTTATTTACAGTGCTGATAGACTATGGAGACCTGGAGTCTGATAGAGTTAGACTTGAATCCGTTTTATCCATGTATTTGTTGTGTGATTAATTGCTCATCATCATCATGAGTATGATCATTGCATTAGCAGTGACAGAGACACGGTACTTGTTCATTCACTTATTTAGCCCACACTCTGCTGGTGAACAGTAAGATAAGGGGAGCGCAACTGGAGCCTGTCACAATTCTGCTCCCACATAGCTGTTGCCTTACTTCTGAAAGAACTTCCCCATGTTGTGTGTGTGTGTGAACAGAAAATTCTAGAAGCTTTTTTTTTTTTTTTTGTCAGTTGTGGGGTCTGCACTCATGGCCAGAGCTCTACCACTATGAGCCATTTCTGGTTTTTGAGTGGTTAACTAGAGATAAGAGTCTCACAAGAACTTTTCTGCTCAGGTTGGCTTCAAACTGTGATCCTCAGATCTCAGCCCCTGAGTAGCTAGGCTTATAGGCAGAGCCATGGGTGCCAGCCTTAAATTGTAGAAACTTTTAAAGGTGTCCTATATCCTTTTGTCATATTGGACTCAGGTTTCTGGACTGATTTGTAAATAAGCAGAGTACTAAAGAAACTTAGGAGAGGTAAGCTACCTCAGTACTAACAAGTACTTAAAGATTTATCATCTATTATTAATACCCAGGATATCTAGTACTTTCATTAAAATCATACCATCAGATTAGTCAGTTTTGCCAGAAATACCTATATAGCACTTTCCAGAAAAGAAAACAAATCACCACAAATCACAAAGTACACAGGTGGGAGCATTAAATTGAACACACAAATTCTCATTAGGTACAGTATAAACTAGTTTTCTACTATGTGGCCAATGCTGAGTAAAACACTGGGGGTGAAAAACTAAACTTTTAAGGGGAAAAAGTCAAATACTGGGAGAACACAGGCAACGCTGGCCATCACAGCCTTGCTTCCATGATTATTTAAAAACTGGCCCGTGGTGCTGTACGCAGTCCTTCCTGTGTCTACGCAAGCCTACTTATACACGGTCTTCTGAAAATTGTAGACTCTCACGGTAAATGTGCTCTATAAGCCAAGTAGCATGATTCACAATGGAAAAACATATCGAAAATGATCTTTATTTTTTTTCCCGGAACTTAGTAACCTGGTCTGCTCTGTATCTTAGGCCTGCAGCGACTGCTGTGATATCCCTGGCATTTGGACGCTACATCCTGGAACCCTTTTTTATTCATTGTGAGATTCCTGAACTTGCAATCAAGCTCATCACGGCGGTGGGACTAAGTGAGTACCAGAGGCACAAACAGAAGCTCTGGGAGGAGGCTCCTCAGGATGCAGTGCTCGCCCCAACCTGTGTTCTTTCGGTTTACAACTCCAACTTTGTGCTGGGAAATACAGACAAAACTCAGACTTGGAGTGGGGGGTGCTGCCAGTGTTTCACTGGGTCAAAAAATACTGTGGCTGCCTAATACACAAAGCCTCCACAGTAGGTAAAACCACTTTGTCAGCAAAATATTGTCGATTATACATAAAAGGAGACGCTTAAGGAGGAAAATTCAGCTGTTTTTATGGAATTCCTGTTTGAAAGGTATCCTTTCTCAGTAATACGTTGCCTGTGACTCATATGTGACCGAGGAGTTACGCTTGTGTATTGGGTATGAGATGGTCACCCAATTCCAAGTTTTAATAGCTATAGTGACCATTGATAATGTTTTTACTGTCCTTTGTTGGCCTTGATTAGAATCTTCTTTCAAGATTTCACCATTAGTAGCATTTCTCAAGCAGGACATTAATTAACTAATTAATATGATCATTTTACTGTATTGGAGCTTAAATTCAGGGCTTTGCCCTTGTTCGGCTTGCTTGGTTTAGCCTTTTCTCTACCACTTGAGCCATGCCTCCAGTCTCGCTTGTTGCGGGTTATTTTATAGATGGAATCTCATGGACTTTTCTGTCTTGGTTAACCTCCAATCATGGCCCCCTCCTTCCAAAGCAGGGAGACATAAGCCATGTTGTGCTCAGCCACAAGTGACTATGGGCAACAAATTAGGAAATTATTTTCGAATAACTTTTTGCACAAAGAGGAAGTAACAACAGAAATATGTGCAAGATACCATGAGGTGAAACTAAATGCGATGGTCACTTCCTACAAGATTGCAGAATGTCACCAGAGAGGGTTCCAATTCTAGATGGCCCTGTAATCTCCGTTTTAAGTTCTAACAACTCCAAAAGAAAGCACGAGGCAGGCACACCTGGTTTCACTGTCACAGCGGGTGTTTAGGATGCTATCCCACCTTCCCTGGGAGGAAGGACGGAGCAAAGTGCTTTCAGCCAGAGGCAGGCACTGTGGCTGCCCGCAGAAAAGCAACAAGAGCCCTGTAACCGGGGACATAAATCTGCATTTAAACAGGTCCATCTCAAATGTGAGTCATCAAATGTATGCACACAATCATTCTGTGAGATGTCTCAAAAGATAAAGGAAATGACAATGCAACAGAACCTGCTCCATCTGCTCCTTAGGCCTAACACTAAGAATTTCGCTTAGAACAGATGTGGTTAGGAACCCATTATGTTATGGGCCCATAGTGGGTCATATTCCCCTGGAGAGAACCCGTGAGGACTGGAACTAAGTGACTCAGTTATGTGATCTTGGGCTAGTTAAGCCTCTTCAAGCCTCAGTTTTATTTATTGTGGAAGAGGTCTATGAAAAGACAATTTAGCTGGATGACTATAGAAATATATAATTAAATATGATTTTAAAGATGTTTAACAGTGTCTAGCTCATAGAAAGTTCTTGTCCTGCTGAAGGACTGGACTAACAGCCATATATAGAGACATACATACATATATATATATATGTCTATATACATGTGTATATATATACATATACATATACATATATATATATATATATATACATATGTATATATATATATATATATATGTTTCCCTTGAGTGAATGAGGCATTAAATTTGAGAAGAGAAAGGCATAGAATTTTTTTTTTTTTGGTTGGTGGTGGGGTTTGAACTCTGGGCCTGGGCGCTATCCCTCAGCTCTTCAGCTCAAGGTGAGCGCTCTACCGCTTGAGCCACAGAGCCACTTCTGGTTTTCCAGTGGCTTATTGGAGATAAGAGTCTCACGGACTTTTCTGTCTGGGCTGGCTTTGAACCTCGATCCTCAGATCTCAGCCTCCTGAGTAGCTAGGATGACAGCTGTGAGCACTGGGGCCCAGCTAAGGTGTAAAAATTTTAAGAACTCTAAATTACTAGTGGGAGTTATTATGCTATAACCAGAAGTCTTTAAGCAAATCCTATCTGGATGTTTGAAAATCCACCAATTTTGTGAAATTACATGAGTCATTATAGTGGATTTCTTAATTTTGAGAGTCTAGATAACTTTCTTTTTGTTCCTCCTCCTCCTTCTTTCCTCTTCCTTTTCCCCCTCCTCCTTTTCTTTCTTCTCTTTCTCCTTTTCCTCCCAACCTCCTGATTTCTTCATCTTCTTTCTCCTTTTCCTTTTCCTCTTCCTCTTCTTCTTCCTCTTCTTCCTCTTACCTTTCCTCCTCCTCCTCCTCCTCCTCCTCCTTCTTTTTTTCTGTGGCCGTACTGGGACTTGAATTCAGGGCTTCGCATTGTTCCTTGTCTTTTTCTGCCCAAGGTTGATGCTCTACTGCTTGAGCCAAATCTTCACTTTTGGCTTTTTGCTGGTTAGTTGAAGATAAGAGTCTCTCAGATTTATTATCTGCCTGGCTGGCTCTCAACCACATTCCTCAGTTCTCATCCTCTTGAGTAGCTAGGCACGATCCAATGGTTCCTGACAATGATTTTCTTATTTATTCCAATTCCATTAAGCATCTTAAAGGGAAACCATATATTTTAGGGGATTACATGGAAATTCTTCAAGGCAAACTTTAAAGTGATATGGACAAGTGATTGGGCTCTCCAAAACATCTTCAGGAAAGACTGACAAAGAGCCCCTGTGAGAATATTTTCATCCATTTTTGTCACTAGTATAATATTAGCTTATGCATTTGGATGTTTCTTTTATAAGCTTGAGATTCTGATAAGGAAATCTCAGAAACAGAAGCACTGACAGACAAAAAAAAGAGAGTATTCTTATAACTCAGTGGGTAGTAATTTAAATCAATGGCCTAATTGGCAAAGTCAACCTGTCTTTAAGAAGAATTTAGCTTTAATGGAGGCACCAGGAGTGAGAGGTAGAGATAAAGGAAGAGAGGGAAGTCTACCTGGGGAGCAAATCCTTCACATACTTTATTTTTCAAAGCGACTATAGGTGATTTTCCACCTGCTAGGGATGGAAGGGTACTGAGATGTAGAAAACAGTTTAATTGTATGAATTGCTTCCCTGTGCTCCTGGAGGGAGCTGGGGAGTTTCACATCTCTAGTTAAGTGTGGAAAAAGGTCAAACCCCAGGGTCTTCCTACATCACAGGAAAAGTGAGTTGCAAACTTGTGAGATATTAACCAGCCATTGGAGAAGTGATGAAGGGGTGAAAAGTTATCTAAATGCTAATTTATCCTCATTTTTTAAGTACTCCACTTCAGCCAAATAATCAAGATTAAACGATTCTGCTTATCCCAAATCCCCGTTTCCGTAAGAACACCAGCAGGTGGAGTTTTAATGGAAAATCTGGTGTGTCCACTCATGCGTAGCGGCTCTGACCCTGCCCCGTGCTGGCGTTGATCCTCTCCTTCCCGGACAGGTGCATGGATTTCCTCTGCTTGCATAGTTTTGGTGAATATTGAAGCAGGTTCATATTTAAAATATCTAGCCTGTTGTTCTGGTCTCCTGAATCTAGGCCCTCTGGAAACATACCTTTCATGGTACAATATTATCCTAAGAATACTTCTTTTTTTTTTTAATGGAGATTCCCTGAGTCTCCATTCCTTTGCTAGTTTATTTTGTGTAGGTAAGTTAAGAGCTGCATACAACTTCTTAAACCTTTTGGGAGTCATTGTGAGGAACAAACAAAAAACGGTTGTATCTGATGGCGAAAAACAGCTTGCTACACTACTCCATTTTCTTTTTCAAAGTCAGGTTTTTCACATACGGTATGTGGATATGGGTTAGCTCTAAGTCTGAAGTTTTTGTATACTTATTCTACCATACTTAAATACCAACCCAAGCAACTCATAGGTAGATACATGTAGTAGTGTCATGTACAAATTTGGTAGAACAGTCATAGTCTACAAGAGGATAATCAATCAAATGTGGAAGTAAAGTGTTCCTCCATCCCAGCCAAGATAATCACAGACCTTTACAGAGAGAGAGGAGCAGCACACATTGCAAACCACTAGATTTGCCGTGGGATCGTCTCTGCATCTCTGGAGCTGGCCCCTCGTATCACCGGTGAGAGAGTGTGCTCAGCATTCTCTTACCTAGGTCCCAATCTTATCTTTCCATTTACCGCCTGTGTGTACATAAGCAAGTTAAATACTGCCTGGAGTTACAGCTGCTTATCTGAAAACTAAGACCAATAATAGTAAGCATGTCACAGAGATAGGAGGATTAAGTAACATTATCCATGTTAAGTATTTGCACAACAACTGCCACAAAAATAATAGTTTGTACTTATTTAGTGCCTACTATTTTTATTCCCACTAGTGAGATTGTAGATACAGACTGCTTCTTAAAGGTGTTTATTTCTACACATCCTCTCTAAGATGAATGCATCCAGGGAAGAAATGCTAGCGGAGAGATAAAGGGAACCTAGCAAATATTACAAAAAGTGGTGGAACCATTCCTTCTATCTCAGCTCAGACATGCGTAGGGAGTGTCTATCATTTATCACGTTAGCATGAAGCAGTCAGAAGCCAGAAGCCAAAGGACCCTGCACCGCAGAGAAAACCCAATATATCTAGACTCTGTAATCTCTCTCTTCAAAACCAAAGATGGATTTGAAATATGGAGAGTGCAGAAGGAAATGCTCTCCAGTCTTTAAATCACAGAATCGCCCCTCACAGGCCCCCAAACATCCACCTTGAGTACAGCTCCCTTCACATGTGTATTTCTTATTTCTGGGATTTATAGATATAGTTTTCATTGCTGCATTTCAGTTCTCAGGAAAGTGTATCATAAATAAGCTGAATAAAGACTCTGTGTCCTCGTATTTTCATCTTGGTGAAAATTTGAGGCAAGCAAAATAAATAAGTAGCCTGAACGGACGTAATTAGTTCCTCATGTGTGAAATTAGCAATTACTCAAAGGAAGTAAAACTAAGACCTGAAGAGCTGTCTCAGAGGGCTTTTATTGTTACAGTCTGGGTACTGATGTTATCTGAGGTGTACACGCGCGTGCGCACACACACACACACACACACACACAGACATCTTAAAAAGGTAGATATTGTTTATTTCAGAAACTCAAGAAAGCTCTTGCATTTAGTGGATCCCAAATCCCTTTTCCATATTGTTGACCAAGTGACATAGACAGTGTAAAATCCGCTGTGCTGACCAGTGATGAGCTGCAGTTCCAGCCCGGGGAGAAGCTGCCCGTCTTGGGTGCAGGCTGCCCTGTGCTTGGGTGTGGGCTTCCCCGTTTCTTGGTAAGCTGTACCTTTGGGCTCATTGAGGCACAGCTCAGCTGGGATGTGTGTAATGAGCAGCCTTCTGGGATGCTTGGATATAACAAAACCTTTGATTCTCACTCTTGGGGGAGAAGATGAGTTGGTTGTGTCACCCATTGGCTGGGAGAACTTTAGGAGGTATGATGTAACTCCCTCCTCTTGATCGCAGCAGTGGTGATGGTTCTCAACAGCACGAGCGTCAGCTGGAGTGCTCGGATCCAGATTCTCCTCACCTTCTGCAAGCTCATGGCTATTCTGATCATTATAGTCCCCGGAGTGGTGCAGTTAATTAAAGGTAAGGACTCTGGTCATTATAGTCACCGGAGTGACGCAGTTAATTAAAGGTAAGGAGTGAAAAGGAAATGTCCTTAAAAATACAGATCTGCATTTGGCCTATTGTACCACTCAGTTTTGCTGGTGCAGCAGATTACTTAATTAGTCTCAGCATGTGGGACTTAAACTGGAGACTGTCACCTAATTGATCTGAAAGGCTGCCACACTGGCGTGAATTGGTATTTACAGTGGAATGGTGACAAGAGGACCAGGCCAGCTCAAGCAAGACAAGATGGCATCGGTGAATTCTTTAGGCGTAAGATTGCTTGGCGGGAAGCCCAAAGTGAAAAGAAAAAATAATCTGAAGTTTAGTGTTAGCTTCCTATGAGCATATCCTTTTAGGTGTTACTTTGAGCTTCCTCAATAATAGTAAAAAAAAAATCAAATCGATTTCTAGAAAATAATAAAGGATGACTCATAATACTAGTTTTTGAATTAGAATTAATTTTATCTTCCTGGGCACTGGTACCACAAGTCTTGTAATCCTAGCTACTCAGGAAGCTTGCATCTGAAGATTGTGGTTTGAAGGGTGCTTGGGCAGAAAAATTCCCAAGTAGTTATCAAAAAGCTGGAAGTATTGGTATGGCTCAAGTGGTAGAGTGCCAGCCCTGAATAAAAAAGCTGAGGACGAGCACAAGGCCCTGACTTCAAGCCCCAGTACTGGCATTAACAAAAAACAAAAACAAAAATACAGAGAGAGAGAAGAGAGTTGGAGAATTTCTTTTTTCTTGAGAGAGAGGATCCCAGGGAAAGACATTAGATCTAGAAACAGCATTTCTAAAAATACTTGATCATCAAAATAGTTCTCCAAACTTCATTTTTTATTTTTACATGATTTTCCATGTAAAATGTGCATTTCGAAAGGAAATCATTTCTGACATGACTTGCCTTCATCTGCTATGTAATAAGAAAAGAAGTCTGGGGGGTTTGTCAGTTAGAATTTCAATTGTTTTAGAGAGGAAGGTACATCAGTTGTTTCGATTCTGTGGAAATGGTTGGAAGAGAAGATGGTACACCAGGGTTATTTAACCTGTGCCAGGCACTGGAGCAGAAAATAAAAGACAAAACTGTGAAGAGGTGCCATATAACTTGAGCATGTTAAGTATTTAATGTTTACATTGATAGTGTCTGTTCCAAGAAGGGTAATTTATAGAGAAATGTAATGACGTTGCTGGAGAAGAATTATAACAAGGCAAAAGAGAATGCCAGTGTTCAACGAAATCATTCCTATTGGTTGAGGCATGAAAGAATAACAGACAAGGAGAGCCTGGTCACTCTGCACCTGGAACGGAGCTGCGGTTGTCCATTTCATAAGCCTGAGGGAGCTCTTAGAGCCTGCCAAGTGCTTTCATCAAATCCGGCAACCTCAGCCAGCTCTGGAAAACACAATGAAGATCTTTGAACATTAAGCTTACAGTGACGAGAAGCAAACTTGTTCTTCTCCACAGACCTGGCCTGCTCACCTTTGATCTCTTCTTCTATTGCAAATACAGGCCAAACCAATCTGTTTTGTTGGTACCCTCCTTTTCCCAGCCCTTTTGTCTTTGAAGAGGACTTCCAGGGTCTCGGAACCACTGGCCCATCTCTGCTCTTGATTTATGTTCCTAGTTTTGAGAATCTATACTATTCCTTTAAGCTAAGATTCATTTTCCTGGCTCCTCTTTCTGGTATAATCAGACATAGTACAATAGGTAGATTTATAGTCCATAGCCATTTTACATCACTAACACAATGTGTGTGTGAGGTAGGGTTTGTTTACTCAGACGTTGCTTTCTTCTGAGTTCTTTGAGAGTAGAGTTCATGATAGAGTGCTTAGATTCTTCTTGTCAGTTACAGAAGAGTGATATTTAGTATTATTGACCTCAATGGTTAACATTACCAGGTTTCTTACTTCTCATCTAATAAAATGGTGCCCTGGAAATGAGATCGCATTTAAAGTAGTTTGAATATCTTGGAGAGCATTCTTAGTGGATCTATTTGCTTTATTGATAACAGAACAATCATTTTCCTTAATTGTGACACAATCCTCTATTTTCCATGTGAATCTGAGACTCTGGAAGGATAAAGCCTTCAGTAATGCACAATGTGCATTTATCTCTACTCCATTCAGAGAGTTGAGTGTATTCACGTGTGAGGAATTGTTGAACTTTCCTTTGAATGTTGAAACTTTCATCTTCTGAGACATCTATTTTGCAGCCAAAATATTCCTTAAGTTTAGAAACAAAGCACCTCTTTTTGTAACACCCTCAAAAGAGCACTTTTGAAGTTCTGTGCTTATGACTCAGGCTTTATAGATTGTTTTCATTGATTATTCATAATTGTACTCTGAGGAACATTGTCTCCAGAGTCTAAGGAAACCGCAGGTCATGATAAAAGCATGCCCAGATGCGTTTTCATCTGGATCCCAGTATTTGTGTTTTCCTTCTATGAAGATGTGGAGATGTTTTAGTAACATGGACATTTTTAAATCACCCCACCACTTTTTAACAATGAACTACACTTGAAAACTACCGGGTACTTGAAGGAAAATTCATTCCATGTAACACTGAATGTTCTCTATGTTGAGCAGCCATTTGCAGACTCCATCACGGAGGGCTGTGCCTGGCTGGGTCTAGGGAGGATTTCCCTCATCCGCCTCCCTTATTTACACAAGACAGATTTTGAAGCAAAATCATTTCTGGTTTGGATATTTTCATTTGCTGTTTTCTTTGGGAAAAAGTGATTTTTAAAAAGTTTGATTGTAAATACTGCCTAAAGCAAATCTTAATTTCTTGTTTTTTAAACTATCCAAAACATATACTATATATACAATATATTATATATATGTATATATAGTATATATATATGTATATACATACATACATATGTATGTATATATATGTACTATATATAGTATATATCTATATAGTATATATGTATATATATACATATATAGTGTATACATATATGTGTATACACTATATATACCTATATATACATATACATACTATATATGCTCTATTTGTATATAAGTGTATATATAGTATAGATATATACACACACACACACACATACACACACACACACATACACACACACACACACACACACACACACACACACACACACACACACACATATATACTTCTCTTCACAAAATAAGGGGAAATGTTAGGCATAAAAGTGTTCTATCCCCTCCATGCAAAATCTGTCCAAACTTGGTTTGGAATTCAGCAGGATCTTGGTTTGGATTCAGCAGGATTCAGATGAATGCTGGCATTTATCATGACAGGGTAGAGGGCTTCTGTGTTGAGGCTCATTAGTAAATATTTTCCAGTGCTGTGGGCACTGTGGTCCCCTGGTCCTGGGTGAGGTCAGCCTCCAGCACCATGTGCCGATGGCTGCAATGCAGGGATACTTTACTTCCCAAGGGACTTATGGATTTGGGGGTTCAGTTTGATCTGCAGGGTTTTCAGATCCCTGCTCTAGGAGACGGGGACCTAATGCAACACAAGGGATTATTGTAACAGAAGGCAGAAACAAACAATTTTGGAAGTTAGCTCTGGAGTCTTTGGTATTTCCTCATCAAAAGTAGACCCTTGATGTTTGTGTGCATCTTTTGTATTTTTTAAAGCAAGCCATACACTTTCTTCCTTTATAAGAACTCTACCATTCTTTCAAACTACAGTTTACAGAAAATCCTTCAGTCTTCTTTCATGTTCAAAAGAGAAGCACACTCCAGCCGGAGATTGTGTCTTTTAAAAAGCCACTTTCATCTTGGATTTCACTATATTATTGAGGAGAAATGTGATAAATGTGGATGGTGATCAGAGGACTTTTGGGGTCCAGTATTAACAGATGAAACTCTCTAGAGAGTGACCAGTATTCATAGATAAAACTGGCTATGAGCTGACAGTAAGAAGTCCAGACATGAAACAACATGGCTGGCTCCCCACTTTCATGTTTATGATTGGAGTACATAAGAAGTAGTTCCCTGGAAAGCTGTAAAATCTTTCTATTCTAATTGCAGGGCACACACAGCACTTCAAAGATGCCTTTTCAGGAAGAGATGCAAGCATCATGGGCTTGCCCCTGGCTTTTTATTATGGAATGTATGCGTATGCTGGCTGGTAAGTTGACAGCTCCAGAGACTTTAAACAATTATGGTTTCCTCCTGTTAACCCATCTCTGTTGAAGGAATTCAGGTATGACCCTGGTATGGAGTGAGGAGAAGTCTCGCAGCTATGTGCTGCTACCATATGGTCTGTCAAAGAAGATCAGAGAATTTATGGCCAGATCCTTATGCAGAAAGCCCAGAGAAAGTTCAGTAAATATTTCTAGTTTTTATGACTTGCTTTGGGGGAAGGAAGGGTCAATGGGGCTCCTTGGAGAAGAGAAGTTTTGGTTTCCAGGGCTCACTTTGGGTGGAGAAGGGGTACAAGATGAACAAGGTAGAACAAGTCAGACCCACCCCTCCTCTGAGGCCTTCCTCTGGCCTTCCATTCCCAGGACTCTGTATGACCAGGTCCCACGGTTGGGATGGTCGTTTCTGTGAGCCCAACATAGGTTACCATCTCATGAGAAAAACCCAAACATGCTTGGTCTAAGGAGCCAGGGTAGACTGCGCATTAACAACACGGTGCTAGGAAATACGAGAGATTAGTAGTTGGCTGAGAGTACTTACAGTGATTAATACTTTTTTTTTTCTACTTTCTTGTGAGGAGCAAGTGATTCACATACAGAAATAAGATATTTCTGAGAGGTTAAAATAATGCTTCAAAGGCAGAAAAGAAGAAACCAAGATAACACACTCATCTGTATCAATATGTCAGTTTTTTTTCTCTGCTTCTGGCTTTTTGGTAGTTGGAGATAAGAGTCTCACAGACTTTCTTGTCTGGGCTGGCTTTGAACCGATATCTGCAGGTCTCAGTCTCCTGAGTGGCTAGGATTATAGGCATGTTATGTTACATTGTAAAGGAAATAGTAAGTTCCTTGAAACTTCTCCAATACCTGAAGATAAAAAATATGTACCAAAGCTGTTCCCAAAGCTGATCCATTGCCTGTCATGCATGTCTATCTGTGAAGCCTTTCTGTCTTGGTTAAGTTCTCAGAACTTCATATTTCCACCTTACTTTGTTGAAGTACTTAACTGGCAATAATTGTGGATAATAACTAAACTTTTCTTAGCTAAATTTTATTGGCTCTGTGAGGGTAAGTTGAATTCTAGTGTAGTAGGTGCAAAAGTATTCCTTAAAACATCAAAATCCTCGTGATAAGATTCATTTGTTTTGAGTCAAAAATGGTCTTATTTATTTTTATTGTTTCTAAAACTTGGACAACTTGAGCTGTGAGAATGTTCTGTGTGAGACTAAAAAATAACATCAGAAAACTTCACTAGCTCAACACTTACATAAACATCTTACTGGAAGACTCTCAGGGTGTCACACCAAAAAGGAGAGTCTTAGTGGGTGTAAGTCTTTTTGTTTTTGTTTTTGTGGATTTATTTTTTAAAGCTAGGATTTCTTTTAGAATAACAGGGTTAAAGTAGGGAGAAAGGGAAAAGAGAAGAGCATTTCTAGATCCCCAATACAGGAAGAGATTGGAAATGGCTGCTGTGTTTTCTGCCCTGACTCTTTCTGAACTGGGGAAGGGCAGGTCGTCAAGTCGGTAGTGCCAGCCACCGTCTGATGGATGGGGTCTGGCTGAGGTGTGTGTGAAGCCCACCCAAAGCACAGGTCGCTTCGGGGCATCTTTTCTCCAGACATACCTTTCAGTCTTTCCGTCTTCACCCATCAGTGAGCAGTTCTTTGAAGGCAGATTCACCCCTCAGTAGCTCTAGTCTTCTAACCGATGATGGGAAGAGTGAATCTGCCTTTTCAGCTAACTTCCTGTTCTTCACTGCTGAGTCTGGCCCCTTTCGATAATATAAAAATATATTAAAATAATATAATTCCTTTGTCTCCTTGTCTATCTATCCTGCTTCAAATGCATTTCTGAAATGCATAATTTCCTTTGGTTCTTTTAGAAAAGAAATGATATATTTCAAAATAAATGGAGTTGGTATCCTAATGAATCTCACTGAATCTTGCAAATATAGAATTACAAGAGAATTAGGAGAGAATATAAAGTTTTGATGCATAATGTTTGGAGATAATACCTCTAAAAAAGGTCTGTGCAGAATATTTGTATATTCCCAGAACATTTTTACAGCCATTGTGTGTAAGCATTGCCTTTGAATCACTCAATTTTTTTGAAGTCTTTTTACTTCAGTCCAAAGCACAATGAAATGCTAGACAGAGAAAAGCACTGTGTGTGATCACAGGGTTAGAACAGATCCAACTCTTCTTGTCTCTTCAGCTTGGGTCAGGGCTCTAAGGCCTGGAGCAAGGGTTCTGGATCCGTGAGGGGGAGGGACAAAGGCTCTCCCTCCCCGCACCTGCCCAGCAAGAACGCCTGGAAGGTTCCATCAGCAGTGGGAGATTTGAGTAATTCTGTAGGATGAAGCGTTTTGCTTAAATCTTTGTTCTTTTTTTGCCTGTGAGCACGAATGCATCTGTTCTCATGAATCTGCACATATTTCTACCCTTTCCACTTCCCCATCACCCGGCACTGAGGATTTACATCACCTGTTTCTCCACAAGTTTCTCCACTTTGGAGGCTGTGGAGGGCTGGTAGATTCCACCGTGCATAAAGACTCTTTTTATTCTGAATTATCTTGTTAATATTGGATTTTACTGATGTTGAGCCTTGAAGGTGACTGTTTACAAGGTGAATGAGGTGTGTGTATGTGTGTGAGAAAAAGAGAGAGAGAGAGAGAGGGAGAGAGGAGAGAGGGGAGAGAGGGGGGAGAGAGAGGGAGAGGGGAGAGAGAGAGGGAGAGAGGAGAGAGAGGGGGGAGAGAGGAGAGAGGGGAGAGGGAGAAAGAGAGAGGGAGGGGGGAGAGAGAGAGAGAGAGAGAGAGCACGAACCCTGGTAATGGTCATGTCTGCACGATGCCATTGATTTTTCTCACATCCTTGAGGGTTCAATCTCCACTGTGGGATGTGAGTCCTCAGTTTTACATGGAAGGCTATGGACATGAGCAGTGCATGCTGGGACAGATGTGTAACTGCTATGAGGGCTCCTGTGCTACCTGAGTGCTCCCTTGTGAGGGAGCTCCTGGATTCACACCTGTCAGGTTTAGATCAGGGCAGCTGTGTGGAGCAGAGTGGATTGATTTGGAGTGCAGAGGATGAGTTATCATCCGGATGTGGATGGACCATCGTGGAGGCAAAGTAATTCCCAAAGAGAGGGTCAACTTACCTTCTTTGCGTCTCTGACTGCTCCATCTTTCCTGATGTCATTAGAGGACCAGGTTGTAGAGTGACAAATGGAGGGTACAAATGAGTCCCCACTCCCTCCGCTGCTGCTAGGACAGAGACAAAAAGTAAAGAAGGAAACAGAAACAGAGGGGCTGCCTGGGAGAGAGACAGCAGCCAGGCAGCTGCCGTGATGGAGCTCACGGGCTCGCGGTGTCCATCCAGAAGCAAGCAGCAGGGCCACCGTTGTCTTGGACACATTGCTCCATGAACAACCCAACTCCTACGGTTGAACAGGAAAACAAAGCAGTGAACCAGGGGATGCTGAGCACTGTCAGCTTTTGGCTCTGAGCAATGAAGGACCTTCCAGAACCATGGAAACCCCTTCCCAGAGATACAATTAGGGGAAAAGACATCATTAGACAAGGCAGACCATAGAGTTAGTTAGGTCAGCACAGCTTTCATGTGATTGCCCATGTTCCGCCAGGCCTGGATGCGGCCGGGAGACCACAGCCAATCTCAATCCCATGGCCCGACCCAAAGCTAACTACTGCTTGGTGAGATTTTTATTTTAACCTATGTGATAGAGACAATGGTTTTCAGTGTCTTTCTTCCCCTCCCTTTGAAGTCTTATCCTCCACGGATTTAGTCTTGCTAAAGGACCTGCTGGGATTATTTTGTACCATTTCTTTGTGCCGAATGTAAAGAATAAGCTTCTTTTTTCAAGCCAGCCTCATGGCGCGGCGGGCATCGCAGGGCCTTTTTTCGTGCACAGTGGTGGAGAGGCAGACGCTGGGTCTCTGCACGATCTTCAGGGCCTCGTGGAAATGGGCTCCACAGAGAGGGGTGGGACGCAGTGCTGGAGGCCCAGAGGCCCAGGGAGAGGTGGCCTCCCACAGGACACCAGCGTCTGCAGAAAGCAAGCGGCTTCCTCCTCCTCTCCCCACTGCCCAGGCCCTGGCCTGGCCTCTGGCCTCTGAGGTCAGGGACATATTTGAAGTTTTTTATTATTATTACTATTAAGCCTGGGAAGGTGGCTCAGTGGTAGAGCGCTTTCCTCACATGCATGAGGCCCTGGGTTCGATTCCTCAGCACCACATAAGCAGAAAAGGCTGGAAGTGGCATGTGCTCAAGTGGTAGAGCGCTAGTCTTGAGCTGAAGAGCTGAGGGACAGTGCCCAGGCCCAGAGTTCAGCCCCATGACCAACAATAACAAAAATTAATTATTTCCCTTTTTGTTTTAGACTTGTTATAAAAGATTCATTTCTAAAATAACTGTTAAGAAGGAGTTGGCAATACGCATAAGAAGCCTAGAGATATTCTTAAGGTCTCTCTCTGTTTTGGTTTTGGTGGGAGTTTCTGTTTATTTATTTGCCTATTCCTATTTGCCTATACTTTGATTTGCCTCAGGATTATAACCAACACATCAAGTCTTTCTCAAAGAATGCATCTCACATACAGTTACCTACTGTTGCTTGCTCTTCTAAATAACAATCATCTCTGTTTTTTTTTTTTTTTTTGAGCTTAACTTTCTAGTCATTAAAAGAAATCATTGGCTGCAAACTTTTAATATTATCCTCCTGGATACTGCATTTTCAGCATTTCAGATGAACATAGCCCTTGAGATTGTAGACCTCTTAATCCTGACCATCAGATATACTGGTGAAGGAGCATCTGGTATTTTTTAACCACCTCTTCATTCTTTACCACCCCTGGAGGCTGTGAGCCCATTTACATGTATTACAGGCTGAAGGGCTGATATTCTAGACATTTGGTTTTGGAGTGTGGAGAAATTCTTCCTGTGCATGTGTGCTCCTGTTTACCCATGTATTATTATACCTGGTTATTATAGCTGAGCACTTTGGCTCACGCCTGTCATCCTAACTACTCAGGAGGTTGAGATCATGGTTTGAAGCCAGCCCAGTCAGGGAAGTTCTTGAGACTCTTATCTCCAATTAACCAGCAAAAAGCTGGAAGTAGAAGTATGACTTAAATAGTTAGAGTGCTAGCCTTAAAGGAAAAACCCAAGTGAAATTGTGAGGCTCTGATTTCAAGCTTCTCCAGTACCAACAGCCCCCCCCCCCCCATGGTATTGTCTTTGACCTTTGAAGGAGTAACAACAGGAAATCCTAGTGAAAATGTGGCTTATTGTGTGAAAATTTCCTAAGCCTATGAAATGCAGGAGTAGCAAGTCCTTTTTCTCGATATGTTTAGCTTTTTCCATAATGGTCCCATGGTTTTCTCATTTTTGTGATCCACTTATCGATCCATGCTTCTTTAAAGATGGAATTGGCAGTAACCTTGCATTGTGGAGACATGAGTCAGAACCACACAGATGTTAGCCTTCTAGCGTCCCCTTCAGACTGGACAAGGGATGCAAGGTGCTGGGCCTCCAGCCTCATGGGGGTGGAGTCGAGTCCCTAGTTCAGGAGAGGAACCAGAGGAACCAGACCTGGCCTGACATTAGAGGAGACTTTCAATTCCATGGGCCATGTTCTGTGCCCAGAATGTTTCCTGCCATGTAAAAGACAGGTAAAGTGCTATGGATCTGAGAAATCCCCATATTGTCGTGGTTTTTAATCATCCATTTATGGTGCAATGTGCCAAAAATTGACAGTCTCAATAGACAGGAATGAGAAATGATTACTTAGTCTTGGGAGTTGAGGTTATTGGGGATGAATGTCAGAGAATGGTGACCTGAAAGGAACAGGTGTGAACTGAGCATTTACCAGCTTTTTAAATTTTTTATTATAACTAGATAAATTAGAGCCGAATACATTTATAGGGGCTCCCAGAGTGATGTGGTGATTTACGAGTACAGTGTGGAAGAATTTAACTTCTTAAAATATCCATTGTCAGAAACACTTAGTGGGTAGAAGATTGGAAATTCAATCTTGGTAATTTTGAAGTGTGCATTATTAATGTCATTTATTTTTACTTCTTCTTGTATACTGTGTTTTTGTCTCAGAAACCAGTAAGTCTCCTTAAACTGGGAGACACTGCTGCATACATCATAGCATAGATTTGGGGTTATTTTGCTGTCAGAGCCTCACCCTTGCTTAGCTTGCTTGTTTAGCTGGTGTTCTGCCCCTTGAGCCGTGCCTTCAATGCTACTCTCTGCCAGTTATTTTACAGATGGAGTCTTAACAGACATTTCTGTCTGAATTGGCTTTGGACTTCAATTTTCCTAATCTCAGCCACCTGAGTAGCCAGGATTAGAGGCAGGAGCCCCTGGAACTGGCATTATACTATAATAAGTTTTCTTATTTTATAAAAAGAAAACAACTTATCTTTCAATAGTTGTACAAAGCAGCTTGGATTCCACATGTCAGCTCATAGGTACAATGTATCTTGATGAGTGTCACAATGTCCATCCTTCTCCCCGTCTCTGCCACCCTCCCCACCCCAAGTCTGCATTGACTCTTAGGACTGTGTGTTTGCTCTCATTTCCTCTCTGCTTTGTCTGTCTGTCCTCCTTCCCTTTGACCCCCCCCCCCCACATCTTTTTACCTGTTTATCTCTACTTCTAACACCTGAAGTCACAGGAGGCAAAGTTTGTCTTGCACTGCATCTGTCTTCCTTTTCTCCCTGTGATACCATCCTACAGAACCCTAACCTCTTCTCCTCTCCCCATGCATAATCTTTCTGCCTTGTTTCTGTGCTGTTGGGGGCTCATCCTGGAATGACTCCATGCTGCTGGCCCCTGCTGGGTGTTCAGCATCTCAAAGGCCCCCAGGGGGGAGAGATGCCACCCAGGAGACCTCCCTTTCATCCGCAGGGAGGGTACCCGACTACCCCCCCCACCCCCGCCGCACACTTTCTCCAGCACCTCCTTTTCACACCACACTGTGCCACTCCATGACCCATGAGCTCCGTCCTGCGCACAGAGCCCCGGGCTCTGGTAGATCTTAGGCACTGCACGAACAGGGTTTAATAAAAATGATGTGTGGGCATTTTCAGTTGTGAGATGTTTTCTTATTACAAGTGTTTTAACGTATTCTGAGTTCAATATTAAATCCCATAATGTGAAACTTTGGTTTTCTGTCATCAATATGTGTTACTTATTCGTCATCCATTTATATATTTTTAGGTTTTACCTCAATTTTGTTACTGAAGAAGTAGAAAATCCTGAAAAGTAAGTAAACATATTGAGCCTGAATTTTTAAAAAAGTTGGAATCTTGTAGAATTATCTTTAAGTAGTTGCACTGGGGTTTGACCTGTCAGGTATGAGCACGAAGCATCTTGGCCTGTGTCACCCTTCAGTCAGTGCCCACTGTGCCCCCAGTGTCCCGTCCCCCACCATGGCCTCATGCTACCTGCGAAACTTGGCAGACCCAAGGAAAAGCCATGTGAGATTCCATGGTGGAACACGCAGAGTTAAAAAGGGAATTCACTGTGGGCCAGTTAACTTTATCATCATTGTCATTACTATTATTCTCTTAAGATAAGATGTATTTGATTTTATAACAAATTATATATAACTAATTGCATGTTCTTTATTACATATGAAATTGCCTTAAAACCTGAAAGCCAGCAAGAATAATGTTATATTTTCAGTAAATTGTCTCACCTAAACATGTGCAGATTCTCAGTTTCCAGTACAACTTGAAGCTCAGAAGTGCATTATTCCAAATAATGCATGCACATTTAAAAGTTTGACTAAAGAAAATAACAATCAGTTAAATATTAGTTACAAAAGCTTGGAAAGAACTACAGAATGTTCTAGGAACTTTTAAAATTAAAGGATGACCAATTTTGTAGTTTTTTCCTAAATAACAATTTGAAAATTAGATTGTTTGATGATAATGTGTATGTTCCTAAAATGGACTAAGAAAAAAATGAAACTCTTTATGCCTTTGGCGTAAATGGTAGATTTTGTACAGAAAAGCAACATTAAGATACGCTGGTTAGGAGGGGGCATTGACCACCTACAATGTAAAACAAAACATCTAAGGTTATCAACTCGTTTCACTTCTGTTTAGCATCATCCCTATACCAACAACTGTGTCAGGAGCATTTTGCATGATGAATGAGTCCTACCCTCTGTCAGATGAGGGGGAAAAAAAAGTAAAAGTATGATCAGCACCAGAGCAGATGACTTAGTCAGCTGGGCAGAATAGAAATTAGAAGCACTTGACTCTAGTTAGGAAGACATTGCTTACACCTGGCTGAATAAGAGTGGGTGAGTGAGTGTTCCCCTAGCAGACTGATAGAGGAAAGGGAGAGGGGCAGGAAGGAGGTGGAGGAGAGAAAGAGGTTGACTTGATTTCTAGGAAAAGGATCTAGCACATAAGCGTGGGTGTAGGCTGCACATAGGAGAATATGCCTAAGGGTTGACAACAAATGAAGCTGAGTCAGGTGTCCTGGCCTGGGTGTGTCTGGGAGGCAGGAGGCTGCTCACACCTGTCCTTGCGGGGCCAGCCTGTCACGTGGTCGAGCACAGCCACAGGAGAGGATGTGGAAATGAGGATTCATGGTACCTGGCTCAGCTGCTATGCAAATCAATATGCAATTTCAACACGGACAACGCTGTTTTATTGAGAAACATGACCCACATATAACAGTATTGTCATATCTGTTACTGGAACTGGAGGCAGAGAACACATATGTACCAGGAACTAGTTCTCCCATTTCTTGGAAATGATAAGCTCCTTCAGGACTGTAAACCCATTGATTATAAAGACAGATAGACTGGCCTGTGTTTTGTGCCTTTTAGAATAATTAGTGTATAAGTGGCAACACAGAGATATGGCAACTCTTAGGGCATTTTATATAAAAATTTTATTGAATTTCCATTATGTAAAAAACATAATTATGGTTTCTGGCCATCAGTTTTAAATCTAAAATCTTCTTAAATCATCTTAGGCTCTCCTCACTCTCATTTCCTAGATCTATTTCCCTCTCCCTTTGTATATTTTGGTAGTGGCAGGGCATTTAATTTCTTCATTTTTTTTCAAACTGATGATGCCAGTGGTTCACAGTCTATACATATTAAGGAAGAATAATGGTGATGTAGTGATTTGGTGTGATTGATTTGTTTTTTTTTCCTGTTGCAAATAATTTTTCTTATTTCAAAAGATGGAAATAGCGACACACAGGCATCACTTGATGGTGTGGATGAATTAATATCAATAGAGAATTTAGAAGGTAGGTACTGAAAGCTCAAAGCTATGATTCTAGCTGCTCAGGAGGCTGAGATCTGAGGACTGTAGTTCAAAGACAGCCTGGGTAGAAAAGTCCTTTCTTATCCCAAGCTGGCAGGGAAGGGTGACCCTCAGATCTCAGCCTTCTGAGTACCAAGGATTAAAGTTGTGTGGCACTGGTGCCTGACAAGAACTTTCAGATTTTAGAGGCTGGTGTAATGAGTTATAGCAAACACAGGTTGAAGAAAGGTTTGATAGCTTCAAATCCTTCACCCCAGCTCTTCAGATGGTCAGTTCTCATATGAAAGACTTGGTGTAAAAATTAACTCAACACATTTATTTTCTCAAAATTAAAATATAAGAAAAGCCACACCATCACCTTAGTGCACAGTACAGGTAGTTGTGATATATGTATCATAAAAGTAACTTAGAGTTTTGAGTAACTTCATTATTCTTTGTTTTTTGTTAAACATAACTTCCCCTGGCCACGTTAATGATCAAGTGAGGTCTTTTTAGTAAAACACAGGAATTCTTTGGGAAACATTTAGAGTTGCATATCAAGAACAGATGGTTCAATTATGTAGATCCCGTCAAGATGTGTCATTTTTGTCATTTTGTAGACAGACAAGGTTCCAAAATACCTATATTTACAAGGGAGGATAATTCTGTTTCCATCTTCCTTGTGATGTGCCAAGGTGAACGTGTTTCCCAATCAGTCACGGGCATGTGTCCAGCTGTACCAGAACGGGCAACTATTTGGCAGCTGGTGAAATGAATCACAAGCCAAAGATACAACACCTTTTACCACCCTCCTCCATGGAGGCAGTAAAAGTTTCCTGCTGTTGTGATCTAATGGAAGAAGTGATAATTAATTTAGGTCGGTGAGAATAGTAATGTGATCTGAAGTAAGATAGAGTGCAGAGAGCAGTTTTCTCATCTCGCTTGACTGCCCTTCACGTGGTATTTCATTTTGAGAAGTGTTTTGGATTACATAACATTAGTCTATGAAAATTGTCTGATCTGCCTTATGTAAGCATGCCTTATAGTTCTTCAGTCTTGTAGCTGGGGCAAAAGAAAGACTTGGGCAAAAATCTCTGCCTATGGGATTACTCGTAGAAGGCTGAGAAATTTTTCCATGGCTTTTCTTATTATATGTATCTTTTTTTTTTGTCTCTGAGTACCTTTAGATGGATGGAAGTAGCAATCTTTCAAGTATAATAATTAACATTGAACTTTCATGTGAGAATGTTGCCTTTCATGAATACCTGTAGCACAGTGACTGGCTTGACAGAGAAATGTATTAGAATTGAAATAGTGTTTTGAGGGACACAGGTGTCTGAACTTTAGACTGGGAAGGGCATGAAATCTGAAGGGATTCCAGAATTTAAAAATATTATCATCTCCCCACATGGCATGGGTAATGCTGGTATATTACTGATAATGTTTTTTGAAACTATATGAGTTTTGCCTTCTGTTGTTTCTTTTGTAAAGAATATACAATCTGTCATTGCTTGGGAAGTTTCACAGTACAAAGAACATATCATTGAGATGTATAATGTTTGTAATCCTATGCTTGGATTGATAAATCATGTCTCAGGTTGATGAAAACTAACAAATGGATTGCTTTGCTTTGACCTTCAGGGTGTGAGATTAGTCAGTTTGTCTATGAGACATGTTCCCCTGTTCTTCTCACTTCATTTATTCTTTCTGTTCTGAAGAATTGGAAAAAGTAGACTTAGAGGAAGTGGGTAAAACTTGATATCATCAGTCATTTTTGAAGAACAGGCGCTTAACATGCTCTGAATAATCAATTTTAGTAGAAGGCTTAAGTAATCAGAGTGTTATGTTTAATTAATACCTTGCCTACTTCCAATTTATATTAATTGATACCTCATTGTCATCACACCTTGTACCAAGGATAATGTAGAAACAGAGAAACTTGGTTTGGGGACAGTGCCCAGGCTTGTCTAAGGCAGCATGGGTAGATACATTTAATTGGTCCCCACTGGTTTCCCACACAATTCTGTTGTGTGCATTTGGTTCTGATACCCAAGTCCTAAACATTTGGAATGTATGTGATCACCTGCTTATTAATCTGCTCATTTGCTGTTTAATGTCTTATTAGGCCATTGTACATGGCCTCTTACTTACATCATACAACTCTTTCCCTGATAGAAAAGACAACAAAGCAAGATATACTGCTTGACTTCGGTTGTTGACGTTGTGGGCACCTAAGTTAAAATCATTCCGTGCCATATGCGTTTCCTCTGGAAACATACGTGAGGCTGGCTGGATTCGTTTTCCCAGGTACTGCACGGGAGCAATGTGTTGACCCTTGCGGGGCCTCTGAGACACCACACAGCCAGCACTCAGCCAGGTGGCCCGGGCCGGGGGCGGAGAGGAGAGCAAGGGTACCACGTGGCCCGTCTGAAAAGTTCTCACTAATGGGACATGTGGTTGACATACTTGGGCATCCAATTTTTTTCATTTCTCAGCTTCACATAGGCATGACAGACACGTGGTTCCTGTACACTTTGTTCATGGGAGGCTGAAGTGGCAGATAAGGGGTTCAGAAATGATAGGATTATATTATGACCTTTTATCCTGGGGTAACCAAAGAAGACAGATATTAATACTTCAGGAGCTTTGTGGGAGCCGTTTAGGTTTTTCTCTTTTCAATTGTAAGGATTCTAGACATTGAAGGGCAATACTTTTGAATGTTTCATTTGCTTTCCTATTAGTTGTTCCTTAATTCTAGCTGTAATCTTACGGAGGTTTTTATTTGGAGTCTAAGATTAAAAAAACAAGCCAAAAAACACTTATGCTTTAGGAGCAAAAAAGAGTTTCGGTTTCTGTTATAAGAGATTATAAGTAGTAGAATGTCAGAACTGGAGGGGACTCTTGAAAATCATCTATTCTAGTTTTAAGCGCATGCACAACTACCTCTTATGTCTTTAAATAGCAGTAATTCATAGAAGATGAGGAACTGGC